TTTAAGGAAATCCAACTTGTATGATCACCTGATCTAAGCAATTATGTAAATCTTTAATCCAATTATTCATCTTTAAACTAGATAACCATTCTTAAACTTACGCAAGTAAGAAAGAAATGATGATAAAATCAAACTAAAATTTAAGAAAAATTTTCTTTCTATTCCATTATAACAAAATACATTGGCTGAAGTGTGGGAGCTCTTTACAAAAAACTGACCTCAAAGTAAAAAATTTACAAAGTTAAAAATAAAAAATTATAAAATTCACTCATCAGTAGCAGCAATTGTGGAAAGAGTACTCTTATCAGCAAGAGTAAGAGGGATGACCTCAACATCAACAACCTTCACATCTTCTTCTTCTATCCTCATGTTAGCTTTTAGCTCATTCTTCAAGACTTTATCTTTATCTTTTTTTCTCATCTTTCTCGAACTAATTCTAATAAAGCCTCAATCTGATATTGCTGATGTCAATATTAGAGAGATCGAGGTTGAAAAAGGAAAATTTAAACTTTATCTCATCATTGGTCAACTAGAAAGCACAAATGTATTTTTCTTTTAGAATTTACCTTTACCCAAAGACACTTATCAAAGGTCTTATAATCCTCAACAGCCTTCATCTGTAACTTTTCATCTTTTTTATCCTAAGCCTCTAGCTCAGACCTCAGCCTTGTAATTTTAGCTTGAGCATCATTAAGTTTCAACTTGACATATTTTTTCATTTAGTCTACTAAGGCTTTGTCTGTCGAGATAGCTTCCATCTTCACTGTCAGCTCGTCTACCTTTCTCCTTAGCTTAATCTCTTTCTTGTAGGATACACTTAGGCTTAATCTAACATTGCCCAATACCACTGAGCTCTTCTTGTGTTCCTCAACAAAGGCAACCATATCTTTCTCAACCTTTAGCATATGTTTCATAACAACATAACCATGATGGAAGGCCTGATTATTATTTTTCATAGGCTAAGATGGGAACTTTTTTTAGATTACACAAAAAGACCTTGCTTAAAAAAATAAAAACAAAAATAGTAGCAAGAAACTAAACTGAGATAAGGAGATACTCATCAAAATAAAGAACTACGACCTTGTAGAACTTCTTGACAACATTAAGGTTGGAGATAGGATCATCCGTTAGAGCAAACTCTAACCCCACATATATTCTCTCTAAGCTACACCTCAATACCCTAGCTTAAGGGTTCTCAGGAGTAGAAGATAAGATCTCCACCTATGGTTTTTTGGCTAGAAGGGTTAGTGTCGACACTAATGTAAAATATAGGTCTTGACCAAACCTAGCTTTTAACTTTCGACCAAGAAAAGTACGTGGTATAGTTGTACTGATCACTTTGTCTCTCCCACACGAGGAGGTTCTAAGCTGAATCTTTTTTCCCTTTTTTGGGCCTCGAAGCATGTTAGTATAACAAGACGTCAAAGTCCTTCTTGGCTTCAATCATATCTATAAAATCAAACTAACAATTAGATGAAAAATTAACTTAAAATAAAATCTTATAAGATTACCTCAAACCTACTCTAATACTTTATAATGTTTATTACTTCTGAGGAGATCAACTTATGAGCATTGATGACGAGCTCTCCTTATGTGTAAAATCTAAAATTTTACCTCGATCTAACAGATCGAGCACGAAAAAAACCACCGTTACATCCACAAAGAAGTCGAGTGTATTCCTTATTTTTTAAGCCTCAACCTCGAGCTCACCATCTTTATTAGTCTTTTGTTTATCAAGGCATAGAAAAAGCAGCTTTCAATCCTTTATTGAGCTCAGACAATCGACGATAAGTTTTTTATTTGGCTAAGCTATGATATAAAATTACCTACTATCACTAAGATGTTTTTTAAGAAATAAGAACTCCCTGAATTAAAGGATAGAAGGAATAATATTCAATTGTCGACAAAGAATAATAAAAGTGACTCTGTACCAAATAAAATTTAGAGTGAGCTGAGTAATGATCAAATTATAAGAATTAAAAATTGAAATGAATAAAGGATGAAGTGAAAACCTCAGACCAGCCATAAATAAATCCTAATATATGTAGAGTCGATATGGTTTTAGTTTATTAGTGATCTAGTCTGAGGAGTTTAGTGTTATTATATTGTACCCCTCTCTGAAAAAAAATGTGGTACATAAAGCTTGAACATGATAAGCTGAACACATGTTAAGACAATTTTTTGGATTTACTTTACCCTTTAGCTCATTCATCACATCTTTGAGGATCACGTCGAGGTCACATGGAATATATATAAGGACCTCTGTGAGTTTGTCCTACTCTATAGGACTCTTTTCTTCACCATCACTTTTTCCTATCGAAGTACTCATTTCCTCTTATTTCTCTTCAGAAATCCCATCATCAGAAGAATCTAACTCTTAGGTAAGAGATGGATCCTGAGAAAGAATAGTGGATGAAGACAACTCTATCTCAGAGAAAGAAAGATGAGGTGAAAATCCCTCATGAGAAGATGAGATGTCAAGAAAAATTGATTAAAAGAGAGAGTAGAAGTGGTAAAAGGTAGAGAAGATCAAACCCCAGAAAGAAAAACAACCAAAGAGGAAGAAAAGTCATCCATAGAAGATTGACCGACCTGAAAGACGGGGAAAGCAAGTGAATTTTGAAGTTTGAAGTTGATTTGAGCACACAACTCTTTCATGCTCAAAACTTACTTACCTTTTTCTCGAGCATTCTTTTCATTGTGCTGCTACACTTTCTCAGACATCGGGTTGAATCAATAAGCTGTCTTGACATAGTTGCAGCCCCTAATAATAAAGAGGATTAGGTCGTCATCCTACTACTCTTACTAACCTCTTTTTAGCTCTATCTTATAACTCTTAGCCCTTTCAGAACTCTTACTAAAAGACATGGTTAGAAATACGTACCAAAATGGATGTAGGAAAAACTTTGAAGACTAAAAAGCTATTAAGATCAAAAATTTTAAGGTCGAATTGAAAGCAAAGAAAGCAAAAGGTGAAAAGTTGAAGCTTTACTAGCCTTTTATATAGATGCAGTACATGCCAAATGGATGACACGATCTGCATAATATGTCAAAGCACGGATGTGTAGACATCTTTTTATCTTTTTGCTTTTCGCTCAAACTACCTCTCTCTTCATTTAATGCTATTAGACAGACCTAAAGGGACGAACCTCAGGGCGGGCCATCTAAACCGAAAGGCCATAAGGGATAAACATAGAGCTTAATTCACTTTCAGGTCCAAAATAAAGGCTCAAGTCCAAATTCTCAAAAGAAAATACAAGTTTCACCATGACCAAATGAACTTTGGTAATAATCTCAAATCACTCCAAACAATTATCATCTCGACTACTTTTAAATCAATTATGTATTCAATTCAGAACACACGCGTAAAATCGAATAACTGTCAAGTCAAATCATTGCTCAAAACTAGTCATCGTTCAAAATCGACATCTCCCTACAACATTGATTTTCGACGAAATATGTAGTTGATCTGCTTTGCATTGGGGACATTAATAATAAATTTAGCATCTGATACTCAGACCATTTGATGGGGGGATAGAGTGTTAGAAACGTATGATGGTCAAAAGGGTATGGTGATCTTTTTTCTGCTCAAAGTCTTTAATAGACAACCAGGAATATCTTGATCATTTGTGCCAACTTGACATAGTCAATGCCACCTCAGCTTGGCCCTGTCGTACTTGTCCTCTTATGGTGGCCTTCAACTTACTTATAAATATGAAAACTTAGGCACCATAAAGTCAGGCTCATCACATTCATCTCTTTTTTTTCTTACTTTTTCACTTTTTTCTTGATTTGTGAGTCGAAGTATAAATAAAAAAAACATCTTCTATCTTTATCTCTAATCGTCTTTTTTTTTTTTACATTTACAAAAATACATTCAAGTCATAGCTCAGCACCAGCAAGTAACTCTGACAAGAGATTTTATACTCTGGTATGATAAGATTAGTAGAATAGTGAAAACAATTGTTTCAGAATCAGTTGGAGATAGCCAAAAGAGGTAAAACATGATGTTTTGATGAAGGATGAGATTTGATCAGATCATTTATTATTAGTATGAAATGTATTCTAGCGATCTTATTTCACCAATACCAATCTCTTGCTTGCCATTATCAAAATTATGTCAGAGAATAGGACTATAAACAAATTACCCATGATAAAATATTTTTTTTAATTTATTTATTTATTTTTTAAAATATCCATATTCAATTCAAAAATTATTTTATTTATTTATATACATTCCTTTAAATAATAAATTATTCATGTTTTATTTTATTTATTTTTTATACATTTATTTAAATAATAAATTGTTTATGTTTAATTTTTTGATCATTTAATTAAATTAAACAAATTAATTTATAAATACTCAATGAATATATAAAAATATATATTCATAAAAAATAAATAAATCATAATCAAATAAATATAAACAAACAAATATAAATGAATTCATACATAAACAAAGTTTAAAATAAGATTAAAGTAAGAAATAAAAATATAATTTTATTAATATTATTATTATAAACTAACTATAAATAAATCAAATTTAAATAATAAAAAAATAAATTTAAATCAAATTTTAAATAAATTTATTCACAAAAATTAATAAACCAAATAAATTTTGATTCGTTTAATAAAAAAACATAAAAATACCATTCAAAATCTTTTTATATTAACTTAATAAATAAATAAAAATCAAACATATTTACATATAATTTATCCAAAATTTTATTTATTTGCACGTCTGCGAGCTAGTGCAATAAAGTATCGTCCATCCTATTCTTATCTTCCATTTTTTTTTAATAAAAAACTGCCTGATTTGACACTTAATGAACGTCTCGTCTCTCAGTTCGGCCCTCAGCTCAGCAACTTCGACTAGGTAGTAGGGAGGTTGTCCAAAGCCTCGACAAACAAACAAATCATCAATAGATCAAAGAGCAGAAAATGAAACGAAGAAACTACAAACAATCTAAGCAAAGTGCAAACCCTGAAGAAGATAAAGGTCTCGAATAAATATTGGCTTCGGTTCATCTACCACTTAATTTTCTTTTTACAAATTCAAGTTTGTACAACCACGCATCTAGGATGATAATTGTTAGTACTAAAAAAAATGGGACAACTCAATTTCCATTACACATTAAAACCTTATTTCTTTAGTAGAGAAAAGAAGAGGAAAATAGGGAGGGAAACTATTAAATTAATATGCTGTTAAGTCCACTATTAATACGAATTTGGAACTTGGCAAGTCGCCATATCACTGCCTGCTACATCCTTCCATTGTTGAGTAACTGTTTTAATCTGTGTGTAGAATTGAATTCCTGCCTTGCCTGAGGGCCACATGATACAGAATTAGTTTCTAAAAAAAAAAACAAAAGTCAATAATTTAACTTATTTAATCAATTCTATTTATATTTGTATGGGATATATGTAAATACCATCAAAATTGAGATCACCCGCAAAGGATGGCTTGGAGCCGGTAAAAGAAGAAAAGGGCAGTGTGGACGAGATTGGAACATTGATGCCAACCTGAGTGAAAACACCCATTAGAGAATCAACAAATTTTCATAACAAGCGGCAAAAGAAAAAAAAAGGGGGACCAGGGCTAGGACTAGGAGGAGATGGTTACAATTTCGGACATGAATAAAACATTATGTTAAACTGAAATAGGATTTTCAACCAAAACAAAAAGATCTCGTCCCTATACAAATTTCGGTTTTGACAAAAAAGCAAAGGGGAACAAGGGACGGGACCAACATAACAAACAAACACGGGTTATATTAACCGTCTTCATGCTGTCCAATGCATCACAAAGGAACAGTTTAAGGAGCTGCTTTACCTGCCCAACCTCAACCTCCGTTTGAAATTTCCTTGCTGCTACAACTGATGTAGTAAATATAGAAGCTCCATTGCCGTATCTGTGAGAGGAACACGCATAAGGCAAAAATAAAGCTACAGAGTTTGTAAGACAAGGGAATCAAGGGACATTGGTATTCGGGCATTACTTATTCCTATTAACAATGTCTATAGCCTCTTCTAAGCTGTCAACCTGTGCAACAATAAAAAAAATACCTATGTCAGCATGTTTTTAAGTACACAACAAACTTCCCAATTGGGCATTAGCCAACTGGAAACAGCAATAAGTAGCAAACCTCCATACACAGGAGAACTGGGCCACAAATTTCCTCCTGTTTAAACCAAGAAATTGTGTCATTAAGTATTTTGATAGGTTCTAGAGTTCAAATCTCTACTTCCATGGGAGAAACCATATCTTACAAAAGGACTATTTTTGTGAGGAATGTATTATACCTTGTAACATTCCATGCTGGCCTTGACATTAGACAAGATTGTGGGCCCAATGAAGTTCCCATGCTCGTACCCTGGAACCTACAGTCATCCATAAGGTAACAATTTGAATGAGGATAGCTTGAACTTTCTCAAACTTCAAAGTAAAACAGCATTTCTAAACATGCTCCATAAAATTTGCTCCATCATTATACCAAAAATCACCATAAACACACCACAAGGAGAGTGCCACCATGTTGTATATTTATCAATGGATTCCGGTGTGTTATTTAAGACAAGTTACATGGCAGTACTGGGTCATTCTCTTGTAGCATAATTTTACACACTTCAGAATTAAAACATTCTAAGAAATAATTGAGACTACAAGATGACAACTTTAATAAGGTGTAAAACTTTCATCTTCTGGTGTTCAGTTTTTTTTTTTTTTTTTTTTTTTTTTTAACTTGATTGCAACTTTGACTGGTTATAGAGTGCAAAGACATCAGCCTTCAGCCATGGTAAGGTCAACAGCTAGTGTTCACAACTAATTTTAACAACACAGACATGGGATGGAAGAGAGTAATGCCCTAATTTATTTTCAGCAATGGCATGGCCAGAGCTTTAAGCCTGGTGAATGAGTATGGTGAACTTTAATTAAAAGCCTCTTTCTTACCTTTGGATGTTAATCTAAGAAACAGGGCAAAGGAGGTGGGGGAGGGGGCGCTTATGGCATGGCTCCACTTGCGTGGGCCTCCTTAAAGTACCAAAAAGAAGAGATCAAACTTCCACAACTAAATTTTGATGACCCCAATGACATCCAACATTTTCAAACTCCAAACAACCAGGCTATCTGCCCTTATTTGAAATTTGTGTCATGGATATCAGCTCATAAATACACGAAAGCACCAGAAAACTTCAACCTATAGGATCATTGAAATCAAGGACAAAGTAATATTTCTCTTTTCAATGAAAGCTACCGAGCCAAGGAAAAGAAAATCAATAATAGATAATTCAAGCAGAGCAGAGATCAAATAAATAGAACTCAAAATCAAATCAAATACCAAAATATTTCTCCCATCAACTACTAGTTTTGCACCACTTTCAATGCTTGATTGGATCAACCTGCATACGAGTTCCTTTGCCTGCCAACCATGACAACCGTTAAAGAATGTGATTTCATAGTGGAGCACAACAGGCAAAATTACATTGTGTTCAACAAGCAAGTCACATATTCATCCAAACAAAAAAATTGTAAACTGTTTCACCTCAAACAGCACAAAAAATGTGAAAGAATTCACTTCCAATTCACCTCTCAGCTTGATGTACAAAATGAAGATTTAGTAGACTATGGATCATCTTTTACCTGCTTGCCAATCACTGGACCAAGGTCTGTATCAGGTTCTGTTCCAGGTTGTACTTTAAGTGCTTTGGCACGCTCCACTAGTTTATCTTCCCTAGCAAAAGTTAATGCAAACATCTCTTACACCAACACATCTCAAGTCAATCACATAACTTCAATCTAACATCAAATGGAAAACGACAAGGGAAGGGAGAAAGGTTGACAGTTCAAAAAAAATTTTAGACGCTTCTTTTCTTGATAAGTCTATAACAAGTCTTGCCCATTGAAAAGCAACTACAATAGCTTTCACCCAACCAGCTAACACATTAGCCTGAATGAGGTTTAAACTTTGAAGTCCGAGTCAATTACATAATTTTAGCTTGTCCAATTAGGAAAGCTGAACCACTTACTCCAAGCATACTTTTATTCAGGGCCATGAGAAGTAGGATTCTTGGCTGCAGATACCAGAAAACATAACTCTGAAATGGTGTAGGCCATTTTCCCTCTTTTTAAGAAAACAACACAACTAAGTTTGACAATGAGGTCTATTATGGAAATTATTTAAATAATTAAAAGATCATGACCACATCATTATTCAGCGCATGCCAAAGCTGGGGATTGAGCCCTTTCAGATCAAAACCCTGACATAAATGAGCATATATACACATCCACAGAAACTGGTTTTACAAGCAATGGTCCGTGTGAAAAATAAATGAAATAAACAGAACTTTGGAAAATCAAAAACCTCTCCTTGATATGATAATAAATAAAATTACAAACGTAAAAGAAAATAAGGCCAATGATAATGCAGTACATAGGAATCAGATAACATATTGGGAGAAGAATATTAAGAACAACTAAGAGATATAGCTCATGACATGGCTCATGCCAGGAAAAGAATTAACTCTATCAAAACTTAATAGCTGCATGAAAATGCAGCTTAAGACCCATAAATAAAAAATCACTAAACATAGCTCAACGAAAACAGACCAAATGATACAAATATAAGCAAGAAAAACAGTGGTACCATGGATTCAAGCCTCCAACAAAAATAACTGTATTGAGTGCCATGCACTTCTGTCCGGCGCCTCCAAAGCCAGCTGTAACTAGAGCATTTAGTGTAGTATCCATGCTCGCATCAGGCATTACAACTGCATGATTTTTGGCTCCAATATTGCACTAAGGACAACAATCAAACAGCAAAATTTACATAGAACTCAAATAATTGCTAGGACAAGACAGTAACCAGATTGTTTATAGAAAAATAGCAGATTTGTTTCCAAGACATACCTGAACACGTTTCCCTTTTACTGAAGCTCTAGAATACACATAAGTACCAGCCTTGTAAAAGTAAAAAAAAAAAAAAAAACGCAAAACAGTAAAATTAGTAAAATATCCTCCAGGAAGTACCATACTAATAAACAGCCAGAAGCTCTATGAGAGATCAATAATTATAAACAGAAACAAAGGTAGCAACAGACAAACAACCATGTTTGGTCCTGTCAGGTACAAGTTAAAAGTCATCTCGTCTTTCGAAAATATGAAAATTGAAGCATTACAAAACAAACACAATACCAGGACAGATTTCAAATGGCCTATTCACGTGAGAGGAATTATTTCAACAGTAATACTTCCATGATTTTGGACACAAATTGAAGCACAACTGTTTGGCCAGTATATATCAATATATAAGTTGCATCCATTTACCGTTTTCAGGTGTTCAACTGAGCAAGGCAAGCCAATTATATAGCCATTCTACCTTCTCTTGGATAAATTTGAGTTACGCTAGTACGGCTATACTTAGCCTGGTCTTTAATAGAAAGGTTAGAAGATGCATGCCTCAACTTTGTTATTCATACATTTTGGGAAAATCTAATAATACCATTTCAATAAATTTCAAAAAAGCTATGTGTGGGTACATGTAGAGAAAAGAAGAAAGCTTTCCTATGCAAAGAAACTCATTCACATTAGTTGCAACAACTGAAGCATTTCAAATTCCAAGTCAATGGACCAATATGAGTTCCAATTTTTGCATCATTTCCATATATATCTTGGTAGTTTGATTTCCATATTAAATACAGTTGGATTGAATCTATTCCTTTTGCCATATTCACCAAATCTATAAAATTAATTCTAAAATTCTCCACTGTCCTAAACATTTAAACCATCCTTTCATGATCTAACACAATTTTCTATACTTAATTCCCACATACTCAAGAGCCTTCAGGTTACTACTGTTCAGACGTCCAGAAGCAAAACTTTAATCAAAATACAGACCCATCTTAAGGATAGATGTCATGTCTGTAGGTAGTAGTTGTCAACCTTTCACAACTTTACACACGAATCCTTAATCAACCAAGTCAAACCTACCTTGCACTGTAAAATTAATGTATTTATAGTACAGAAGCATCTTGCCTAGATGATCAAGAAAGAAAACAGAAAAAGATAGGGACGGCCAGCATAATTGTAATAGCAACTCTGGACTGAATAACTTACAGTATTTGGACCAACAAAAGATATAGCTTTGATGTCATCATCATCACAAATAGTATTAATGATTTCCTGTCCAAAATCAAAGAGAAATGTAACAGGACCCAGGAAAAAGGAAATGAAAACAGAGAAAAAGCATATAGTACAACACCAAAGAATCAAAATACAGACTGGATCATGGAAATGACTAATGTGATAGCAAAATTAACATCATAGACCCAACATAAACAGCTTCTTTTACAATATATTAAGTAGAAAAAAATTTTGTTGGTAGCAAAAGAAGGTCACATGTTTATCCTCTAAAACATTTTAAGTAAGGCTATTAATAAAGGAAATGAACCAATAAACAACTGTAAGTCCAAACTCCAAACTCACATCGGTGCCATGAACAATATTTAAAACACCATTAGGCAGGCCAGCCTCCACTGCTAGCTCAGCAAGCATCACGGCAGCCCCTGAAAGAACATTAAAACATATCAGTTATACACTGAGCATAAATGCCTTATATAAGCACAGAACCATCAAGTCAGAATTGCTTAAAATGGATGTTTTATTTTCTCATCTATAAATATTTAACTAAAGCTGTAGAATGGTCCAAATTGCTTCAGTTTAGATTGAGAAATGAGAATAACTCATGTTAAAGCTCCCTCACATTTGCTCTCACTCTCCAAATGCATTTCAAAGCTCATATCATTTTCACCTTCTAAGTATGAGGTAGCTTTAGAACACTTTTTAGATTCATAGCAACAAGTCATTTTTCTAATTTGGCCATGTAGTGATGAGTCAAGTCACCATTAAATGCATCCAAATGTGCATAGAAGTATCTCAATACAATAACACCACATAAGCTTCACCAATGCTTAAAAGAAATGGCTCCTGCTATATCCATGACATGTCTATCCATAAAAATACATGTTTAAATGTATTCCTTACTTGGCAGCAAGCTTCACATTTCCGGGATATGATTTTCACATTATTAAGAAGGAAGATAGAGTTACTATAATTTCGTGGTGGCATATAGTGCGAAATAACCATCACCTGGATCCTTCTCTGATGGCTTTAGTATAAAAGTATTACCACAAGTAACTGCAATAGATAACATCTGCATGTACAAAATTTGAGGGGAAAATGAATGAGAGGATCATAACTTAAACAACTAAATTAAAATGTTTCTTCCAGATTTCCTTGATAAGCATGTAAAACCAGGAGGCCGGTGTTCTACTGTTCTGGTAACAGATTAAGAAAACTAATCATCAACATAAAGAGCCAATTCAATTATCAAGATACATCAAACTCTGACCTCAGTTTCATTATTTTAACACAAGATCGTGACTAACATATGTAATTTTATTACTTAGTGTCACACTAAGTAAGAAAAATGATATTAGATAGCCGCACTGTAAACTTCGAGTGAGCAAACTACGCTTACCCATAAGGGGATCATAGCTGGAAAGTCAAAGGGACAAATGCCAGCACAAACACCAAGAGGCTCTCTAATGCTATACAAATCAACTCCATTTGATACATTGGAAACAAATTCCCCAATTTGCAAAGTCGCCATTCCACAAGCATGTTCAACCACCTCTACGAGGGAAAATGAAAGACTTTATAAAGCAAACCATTACTAAAAAGATTATTCCCATAAAACTCTAGATGAGAAAGACAATTGTAAAATACAAGAGATACTGACCTAATCCACACAAGATATCACCATATGCATCCTTCAATGCCTTCCCATGTTCATTGGTAATGTTCATAGCAAGCTTATCCTAGGGCCAGAATTTTATTTTTTCCATCAATAAAAGATATATATCAATCAAGAACAGGACAAATAGAATTCTAAAGATTTACAATGTCTCTCTGAATGAGCTCTTGAAACTTGAACATTATACGCTGTCGGATGGTAATTGGAGTGCTTCGCCATGATGGAAAAGCCCGTTTTGCTGCAAAAACTGCTGCTCTGAACTCCTCATTTGTAGTCAAAGGAACTTGAGAAACCACTTCCTGTGTTGCCTATCAAGAATTGTAAATTGATTATAAAATGGAAACTCCAAACATCTATTGCTAGCTTGATAATCATGAATAACCAAAATGGAAAAATTTAAGGGCACTTACAGGGTTTATAACATCAATAGATGCGAATGACTGTGAATCAACAAATCTACCCCCAATGAGATTGGGAACCCTCTGGCATGCAGCAGCAAGAGAGTTTAATTCCAAAGTAACTTCAGAGAAAAAACCAACAAGGAGGGAGGGAGATAGAAAGAGTGAGACAGATAATTTACATAAGCACTAAAAGTTTCCCTCATTCCAAGTAGATGGGCTACAACTTTGTGACCTGGGTCATATTCAATAACATCTAAAGCTTACCGGTGGGTTACGTTGCCTCCAGGATGGCTCCATAACTGACAGATAATTGTTTCTTACAGCAGATTTCTGAGGTCTCAATGACTTGTAGTTTCTTACTGCAACACAAAGATGATATCACTCAAAATAACAAAATAATGTAAAGAAACTGGAAAACAAAAAAATAACAAAAAAGAGGGCGCTTGTCAGTGATGCAAGAAAAAAAAAACACACACCTGACATATTTCCTTGCCGGAGCTTGGCTTTGACATTATAAACATGCTTTGGTGTCGATAAAAGATCAGGATTGCTTTGTCTCAGTCTCTTTAGAATTTGTCGAGGTTTTAATCCAGCTTCTGTCATTTCTTTTATTAACAAGACTTCTTTCTCTGAAAAACGACGAGCAGATGGATGTTCTGCAATGTCCTTCAAGGGTTCATGGTTGTGTGTACCATTTTTAACAGTAAGTACCCACAAACCATCATCCTTTTTACCCACAACTTCAAAAGGACAATTTGTAAGCCGAGAACCAGTCTTTCTTCTGCGAATACATTCAGCAGCAGACTCATCGACAGGTTTCCTCCTGTTACGATAGACACCTCCTCTGTCACAGCCAAGGACTACCACTTTATCCCTCTTAGATTGCTTAATAGTAACCACATACCCTTGTGATACAGCAAATTCACCAATATGCTGAATAAGTTCTTCTCTATCTACAAAGGTTCCAGGTGGAGGAGGAAGCATCTGTGGTTGTTCATTCAATTCTGTGCTATATTCTATATCCATCATTAATAAATGAAAGATACTACCTAGAATAGAGCATAATAAATGTCACACTTTAAAGATCCTCTCACCGCCGCCAATCAGCAATTATATATTTGATCATCCTCCTCTAGGACTTCACTCTCCATTGAGACAAAGCGGATTATAAAACCAAAATTCCCCTGCTGTAAAAACAGAGCACGATTAAGCGCAAAAATCTTCATAATTATATAAAAACGCACTTACTTGTCTATGCATGAAACATAGACATCGATGTTTACGAAATTACATGCATCATCCGAAATGTTTTTAGTTCATAACATTATCATATACAGCTCAAAAGCAATTTTTCTTGTATTTCAAAAATTAAGCTTTCATATATGATTCATTCAAATGAATATTGACTTGAAATGTCACGCAAACAAAATACCTAGACATCCACACGCCTGACCTAATGCACCAGACTTCTGAACTGCCTCTGTTTATAGATATAAAAAGGAAAAACCCTAACCAAATCCTCATGATTACCCGACCGCAACGGATTCTCTACTAAATCATACTCAGCATTTAATTTTTTTCATTCTCTCGGAACCAAACGGAAAATACAATTTTGGTAAGAGAAAGACAGAAAGAGGAAGAAAAGTTGCGGAGACTTACCAGAAAAGGCGATCGGGCCCGAATCGACGGCGCTGGACGTCTAGTAACTTAAAATAAAAAGGAATTTTCTTTTTTGGGGGTTTTAATATGCTCTTTCTCGCAGTGGAATATTGCTCAGCGTAGAGGGAGAATCGAAGGTTTTTCTTGATGGGTCCGACTCAAGAAACAGAGGCATGTGTTTGGCTTAGTCACAATGGCGGTGGGTTGATCGCGTGGTTTAAACGGATGAAAATCCATTTTAAACAAACACGACACAATTTTGTGTTTGGCTCTGAGTAAAAAGTAGTTTCTTTCTTTCCGCATTTGCTCTAGGATATTTTTTAATATTTAAATATAACAATATAATCATATTATTTATAGTAATAAAATACAATACAAATAATTATTTTCAAGTATGATTTTTAAAATCTTTTTATTGCTACGAGATCAAATTTTCTTTATTTAAATGATTTTTAATTTTTAAAAATATTTATTTTTTACAATAACACATATTAATATTAATATAATTATATTTCGTTAATAATATAATTTTAATAGTAAAAATAAAATCAAAGTTATGAAAATTAAATAAATTTAAATTAATTATTAGTAAGATATAATTTATATGATAAACATATTTGTTATGTAAATTGATTGCATTTCACTTTATTTGAATATTATATTTTATTATATAATTTGACATATATTAATATTTGCAGTGTAAATAATATATTATCTTTTATCATCAAAATATTTCAATGATAGCAAATTAATTGTGAAATAAATTATATATAAAGAAATTAATAAAATAAACTTATCTTTAGGCTTAAAATACACAATTGGTTTCAAGAAAAAATAGATTTGGGCCAGACTAATGTGCTTGAACAGATCAATAGTCCACTTTTTCTTCTCTCATTATTTCAAAACGATGTAGTTCCATTTTATTATATGAATCCTCTTTTGGCAGAAAAGATTTATTTGATAAATTGAACAAATTCAACACTAGAAAAATATAGAAAATTCTATTGATGCCTTTAGTTTTGTTTCACCATACTTTTCCAGTCCTTGATAATTCTATGGTGTGCAACTTTTGAAAGATTTAACAGAAGAGTACATTCATTAGTTCACTGGACAACCTTCAACCGCTATTCCCTTTGCTGTTGGACAAGTTGCTAATTCACAATGCTCACCTTCTGTGCCCCACCATGTCAAGCTATTTCCTGTTCCAACTGAAAAGTACAATAGTATAGCCATGTAAGCTACCCCAGCGTCTAGAGCTGCTGATAGGATGTAATTGTACCTTTGCCACCACTGCTTTCGGTAACGAAAGATGAAAAAGTTGAAAATTGTTCCAACTATAATCCAGGCATTGTAGTTTAATGGTGTTGCTGGTGGCATCATCCCTGTTGCTCCTAGAAGGACAGGAAGGTTAATTAAGGGAATCCAAGATTGCTTGGGGAATGTCTTGTGTAAGAGCCAAACAATGACGGGTCCTAATGCACCTCCTACGAAGAACCAATTCATCGCTCCATAGTTGCCTAGAGATCCAAAGGTCCGTTTGGGGCCCATCAAACCCCATATAACTGATGCATCAAAGAAGAATTGGTCATCGGGGCATGTCCAGGGGCTGTCAGCAGGGAGGAGATCATCCTGGCATATGTTCTCAATAGAGTTAAGCAGCCACCATGCCACTGCAATGTTGATTGTTCCAGCCAGAACTGTTCCTATGAACTATAGATAGGCAGATGCAAATTGCAAGAGAAGTAAAATTGTATCAGCTGCTGTTCATTTAAAGGAAACAATGGAAAACCATTCAGGAAAGAACAAAGTTCTAATGAAAGCCATATTATCTGTTAGGTTAGAAAGTTTTCATTCTGTTATAATTTGTTTTCTGGTTTGGATACTGCTTCTTTTAAATAATTATTGACCTTCACACACATGTATCTGTGACAGCATAGACACCAAAATCTTTTGAACGCTTCCTAGTGATGCTTTTTTTATAAATGTTTGACAACAACTATCACTGGCCTTTTGTTTGATATGATTTAAGTTTAATATATCTAGTTTGATCAAAACCTGTTATCATAAAGCTTATGTTTTGTTTTTTTTTTTTTTTTCTTAATTTAACCATGTAATAATCCCTTAATAGTTTATCAACAGAATTTTGGTGGTTTTACAAGACCCTTTTTTTCTCTTGTTTCATGAGGATATATGTTGATAATTCATAGATAGAAGAAAACGTACCTGAACTAAGAACATGGATCTTGGAGGTATTTTCATATAGTGTCCTAGCTTGAAATCATTGAGAAAGGAGACTGCTTGAGCCATGCTTATATAGCCATAGGTTTTGAAGCATACAATTGCAATAGGTCTTCCTGGATATATGAGACCCATGACATACTCTGTGATAACGTTCAAGCCTGGTGTCTGTGCAGGATGACCGAAATCATTAATAATACTAGCAACATGTTCGCACGTTGATGTAGATCCAAAATTTTTATTTATAATTAATAATGTTGATGATTAATTTAATAAATCAATAAATATAGTTACATTTATAATTTTTTAATAATTAACAATCGGTGAAAATTTATCAATTAATTTATGAATAATATATATATTTCATTCTCCCAACTTATAGAATGAATTAAATTCAAATCTACTTTTTTAAATTTATCTTTACAAACATAATTAAAAGATATTAAAATAAATAATTAAAAAAATAAAGTTAAAACAAAAAAAAAAAAAATGCCAGGCAAAAGAAGAAAAAGGAAAGAGAGCCACACGCTTAAGATGACGAACAGATCTAAGTATATGGGCAGGTGTCTGCCCATCCCGATATTGGGTTATTATTTCTATATATGATCTCAATCCATTATATATATAATCCGCATTTAATTCAATTTAGACAAAAATAAATTTAATAGTATAATATCCATGAAAATGAAGCCAAATGGGGTACACATGACATCTTTATTGATTTTTTTTTTACAAAATTTAATATATAAATTTAAAAACACAAAAATTAAAAATTAAAAAAGATAAATTCGGATGTTACATTAATAACTTTATTGATTTTTTTTTTACAAAATTATATAATTTAAAAAAATAAAATGGTCGAAAAAAGTTCTTTTAATAAAAAAAAAATCAAATGAACCTCATACAAAAAAAAATTTAAAATAAAATGTTAAATTATTTATTAAAAATGAAAAGAAGAAAAAATAGAAAAGGAAAAAAAACAAAAACAAAAAAAATGAAAAACAAAATTTAGTGAGTGACACGTGGCACTCAAATGAGTAAAATTATCAAAATTTTAAAAATATAAAAAATAAAAATTATTAAAAAGGAAGAAAATTCATTGAATGCCACATGGCACCAAAATAAGTAAAATTAATATATAGGATGGTTTTTATTAAATTAATATATTATTGTGACATTTATATATTATCAAGTAATTTTATGTTTATGTTAAATTACATAAAATATTTTTTTGATAAATATTATAAATTGAAAAAATAATTATATTTTTATTAATTAAAAAATTAACATTTTTATTAATTATTTTTTTCATGGCATTAAGTAATAATAACATAGTTTTACTAATTTTTGTTGTAGATGAGAAAAATAAAAGAAAAAAATATGAAAAAGGTGAAAAGTTGGTAAGCGGCCTAACAAAGTCAAAAGGTAAGTGAAAGTTTGCAAGATTTATATATAAAATTAATTTTTTTTTGTCATAGCATTAAGCAATAAATAATTTAGTTTTATTATCTTATTTTTTTAATTTTTGTTGGAGATGAAAAAATTAAGGAAAAATAAAAAGAATATGAAAAGGTGAAAAGCTGGTCATCACCCCAGCAAAATGAAATGGTAAGTCAAAGTTTGCAAGATTTATATATAAAGATAGCATACCTAAAGACAAGGTAAATTTTACTAAAATTCCAGATTTCATCATAAAGTGTGGGGATGTTATCTTGGAAATGTTGAGTTAAAATATCCCCAGAGATTTGATGCTATTAAATTTTCTCAGCTTAAATTTGACATTTTTTCTTTCTGGGGGTTGGAGGGGATTTTATTTTATTTCTTTTCTAAATGAATTGATTATTACCTGGTTGGTTGTGGCAGTTACGATACTAACAGGAAGGGTGAAGACAAAGGCCATGGCACTAGCAAACAGGAGTCCCCACCATGGCATCTGAACTTGGTCATTCAAGAAGATGCAGAGCACAAGTGATACTACAAATGTTGCAGCAAGCAAAATGTAAAACCACCAGGAAGGTATGCCCTTGTAATTTTTCATCAACCTTGTATGAATATCCTCCTTTCCCTTGTAAGAAGCACGATACCGGCCATATATCTCCCTGTTGATAATAGATTCACAATAATGACTTTCGTTAAAATTTAAGTTTCAAAACAGAACAACAAAAAGAATGGCTTTTATTGTTATTTTGTCTTTTGAATGATTTTACATGTAAAAACATCTGTGCTTCTGACCTAGATTCCTTCACTTCAGTATTTCTAGCATGGGAATAAGGGAGGTGAGTGAATGCTGAGCATGAAATTATCTTTGTTGGAAATTTTTTATGTTCATTTTATCAAAAGTGGTCAGGATTCTTCCTCATTAAGTTCAGTTATGTAAACTTAAAATTAGTCCCATACGAAGAAGCTTCTAAGAATGGTCAGTATGAATTTACCTTCCATAGAAGAGGGCCACATGTGTCAGCGTCGATGCAATGGCGGCAAAACCAAACCCGTAACTGAGAGCGAAGAGCATGCTTAGATTAATTCGTCCCTGCTCTTCATACTTAGCTAAATCGAGTTCAAACTTGTCATTAACTATTGCTTTTATGTTGTACTTTTTACCTTGTGCTGTAAACAACTGTGAGGAGAAGATGGGAAATCTGCTAGCATTGCAAAAGTCTAAGCTCCAATAAGCTATAGGAATTGCTATGTAAATTGTCAATACATAGCCTACAAAAACATTGACAATGGCAAAGAAAGGGCTGATGAGTGGACTGAACAAGAAGGATGCCACAGCAGACCAATCAAGCGTCAAGGCTCCTAGTCCAAGTCCTCTCAGACCTGAACCGATTTGCTGGGCGGCAACTGACTTGGAGAAAATCCAGCAGACCCATGAGATGCTGGTAAGGGTTGAGAAGAGGTATCCTGGGACGACGAACCAGGAGAAGCTGCAAATCAGTACAATGAAGAAGAACTTTGCCCTTGTCATTCTCCGATCATCTTTCTCATGCAAAGCCCTGCAAATTCAGATCAAAGAGGTTAGTATTCAAGATACTATTATTTTGCTTTACCGTATGTCAGCGCCCAGGTTTAACATCTGATTAATGAGCATGTCTGCTTTCATTTTTAGCATGATTGGGTTTAAACATAGTGGGTCATATTGATTGTTAAATTTCTATATATGATCCACCGGACATGTATGACAGTATGAAACTGCTACATATCATGATGTTTTAATGGAGCTGATGCAACCAGTAGAGGGTTAGAAGTATTGGACCTAACCCAATTGGGATTCCCACGACGTCTATTTTGGCATCTAGCCCTGGATTCTGTTGATGCCCACGGAATAGAGAGAGTCAGTTTGTTTTACTATGGTATTGGTTATATTTTCTAACCCATAATTCAAGTTCTGTCCATTTTAGAACGACTTTAAAAGACAGAAGACAAAACATATGATATTTGCAAATAATTGTTTAATTCCAACTGACCCAAACTTTAAGGAGGAAAAAAAGACGTGTGGGGCCATAGTTGGAAGACTTTTGAAGTTTGACTCATTTTCTGGGAAGGAACATACTTGCTGTGAAAAGTGAAAAACAACTCAGGATCTGTTTTAAATTTCTTAATCTGGCTCCTGGAATTAAAAAAATTCACTTAAACCTCAAATTACAAAAGTGTGACACCGTGAGTTCGGCTTCTAAGAGGATGAGAATTTTGAAAATTACCTAAAAAGTGAGACTTGCACCAAGGTGCTAGGCCACCACATATGACCCGGCTCCACCACATATTTCCTCAGCAGCCCAGCCCAGCCATATCCTAGCACCTGCATGACGATCCCACCACCATCACCCAAAGATTAACATTGCACCAGTAATAAACAATAATATCAGTTTGAAACATATAGCTATAGAAATATCTTTATGCGGGTAAAACATTAAAAAAAAAAAATAATGAGAAGCCAACTGGCCATGAACAATATGCTCCGACCATAAGGGGCTTTGATAATATTAACCCGCATAGGCAGAACCATTACCAAAAGCACTTCCAGCATTTGCAAAGATGCAAATGAGGACATATTCTTTCATGTTAAAAGCACCGATGTTCAAAGAAAATCCTTTGGACACAAAACCTAGAATCCCAAACTGGGTCTTGGGCAAAACGGAAGCCACGATGAAGTAGCCACGGGGAAGTGTGGCAACTTGGATGGCGATTTGGGTTACGATAAGAGGAACTGGTTGAGAAAGGATAGGAGAGCGCAGAGGCCCAAGAACGACACCCGGCAAGTTCATACTGGTAGGGCCGGGTCGTCCGTTTTGGTCACGATTAACCTGACTTGTTCAGTAGGGCAGATCTCCTCCGTTGGCTACGTGTTTTCTAGGTCTGAAGGTTAATTTGTTGCTGGTAGGAGGGGCTTGTTTTTTCATAGAACTCATGGTGAAGGTTGAAATTGAGACTTCGATAAGTGGGCTAAAGCATAAAGAGAACAAATACTAGTATTTTATATGCTTATATAATGTATATTTTATATTATACAAGATGGGGTATCATTTCTTTTATTATAAAAGGAGAAGATGAAAAGACAATTAAAAAAATTGGAGTACCTTAAAGTAGGGAAAGAGAATCATTCTGGTTGTTGTTGGGTAATAAAAGGAAAAAAAAAAGTCTGCAGATGTGCAATTAACGGTACGACGAGGAAAATGCAATGGGAATCCTTTTTGGCAGTTTGTCTGACGAATGTGCAATTATATAATTGCTCTCGGAAAGTGTTGTGGCTTTTTCTTTTTCCTGGAAGAAACAGCAGTGAATTATTGGTGTGTGAAAATTCAATATAGAGAAAGGTCCTTAAATTTTTAGTTGGTAGTGCTTTGTTCTGCTCTCATACTTCAAAAATGACCTTTTTTAAAAAAAAAAAAAAACACCCGAGAAATTTGAAAGTATATAGAGGATGATTGATTACCTGAGTTGTGATGATCAGCAGCCAACCAGCCAGGAATGATATACTTCGACCATAAAAGACTTTAATGATAGTAACAATACCAACTGCATAAGCAGAGCCACCCCCAAATGCACTGCCTGCATTTGCGAAGATGGAAATAAGTACATGCTCTTTCATGTTGAAAGGCCCCGAGTTCAATGAAAACTTTCTGGATCCTAGACCAGGAAGCTTGAACTTTGTCCTGGGAAGCACGGCAGCCATAAACTGGCCTGAAGGAAGTATGGCTACTTGGACTGTAATTTGGGATATGATAGGTGGCTCTTTCCTGTAGGCAAAGAATTGGTTGAGAAAAGAGAGGAAAGCACATGATAACAGCCCCAAAAACCACATTCGGAATGTCCATACTGGGAGGGTCGGATCATCAGTGTTGCTAACGGTTAGCCTGACTTCTTCTATAGGGGAGAGCTCGTCGACGTCGTCCGCACTTGCACCGTTGATGACATGTCTTTCAGGCTCTAAGGTGGTGGGATTAGGGGTGGCTTGCACTTCGAGAGAGGCCATGGCGAATTGGTAAGTTAGGTGGTTGGGAGATAGGTTCAGTAGGAAGGAATTAGGATGCCATTTATTGCATGAGGTAATGGAATTTCCTTGAAATGGCGCAAGAGAATTAATATTATGAATAGTCTTTTCTTTTTATTTTTTTGTTTTTTCACTAATGAAAATACAAATTGAAGAGCGTAATGAGAAATTTTTGTCGAATCATGATATCATTTTCTGATTGTCTCACGAATATAGATGTGACACTAGAAATTTTTCTCGTCAAACGAACCTTAAAACAAAGTAAAAGAAAAAAAAAAAAAAGAGAATAAGAAAACAAGATATTTGAAGGGTTAAAACTTTGTTTGGAAATCAATATCAATATCCCATGAATTGGCATTGTTTAAAAACACTAGAAACAAATTGCAATCTAAACTTTCTTTAGCCTAATTGGTATATTTACTATATTCAGCAAAAGAAATACTACTCCATTGTTTATGTTATGAATTGTAATGATGAAATAATAAATTTTAGCCTCCAAAATGCTTACTTTTTTTTTATTTTAAACACCATTTTTTTGTTTTTATAATATTTTTTATTTATTATATACTTTTTTATCATTGGACAGACCATCGAATGCTCTTGTATGGCATATTTAGTAGGATCTATCTGGGTAGCAAGGTTAAAACTTGTGTTATTTAAGCGATTCTAATCTCTCTTATCTAAAATAAAAAAATAATTGAAATTTTAAAGATTTCGGATTGTTTCATGCAGGGAAGGTAATAACAATTTTCTACTAGTAATGCCATGGGTTTTCTCATGAATGATTAGATATTTCTCTTTAAGCCTCTAAGGGGAGTTAATTAATTCCGGCATATCCGGTCCCTATTTCACCTTAATAAAGGAAAACAAAAGCTATAATAGAATATAAATAAAATTTTTTATATTTATAATCTATTCATTTAAATAAATTTTATTTTTTTTATAATCATCGATTAAATTTGAGAAGAAAATTTAAATCTACTCATAAATTATTTATTAAATATTTTATTCATTTACATCCTAAAATATAAATGAATTGAATATTAATAAATTTTATTATACATTTAACTTATGCATTTAATTAATAATTTTAAATTATTAATTATAATCATTTATAAAATTTTATAAATAAATAAAATAAATAAAAACGAAACATATTTAAAAATTATTTATGAAACATTTTATTCGTTTATATCTCATTCAACAACAAAGAGAAAAGACTAGAATATCAATGTCAATGGCTAAAATACTTTATTAATTAATAAAATTAAGATAAGGATTGCTTCCATTAATTCAAAGATGCAGAAATCAAACGGGCGGGTTCCATGGAGTAATACTCTTGAGATTGTTTTGCACACAAGAGGGAACACCAGAAGATTGCCTTAAGAAGTGAAAGACACAATCTGTGAAGTGTAGAAGTCAGGTGGTCCACACTTTCCATGCTCTCCTTCAGTGAAGCATTTTCAATCCTCATTCTGTAAAAGGCATAGTTATAACATAATCCACATAGGTATCCATTAACTACTGAAAGGTTGGCATACAGAACAACAGACATCACTTTGCTATTTGCATGCATAAGAACCATCTATTTACAGTCAAGTATTACATGCCATGTAATTCAAAAAATCAACATTTTTTCTGGATACCTAGCAAAATCCGTGCTATTTTGCTGAGCTTCAGCTTCATTTCCCCTGGCATCTAGTGCACCAACCCAACGTCTCAGATATGTTTTCTTTAGCAGATTTCTTAGCCTTCCATCCCTTTCATAATCAACAATTCTTCTGTCTGTGACTTCAGCCAAAACATTCCCTTGTTTCATATCATTACTGATTTTCCTGTGACAGGTGTCACCTTCTAGTTAGTCGTATACACAATTTAGTTACCATAAGCAAGAAAAATATTGCTCAAGCATAGATGCACACAATGCAAGAAACCAAGAAAACAGAGATAATGAACAAGAGGGTGAAAAGTTAAGATATCCAGATATATGATTAAACAAGGACAACTACAAGAGGAATTTGGCCACATTCCTGAATCCTTTGGAAACAATATTTTGTATCGGTAAAAAACATAGCAAATCCATTCCTTGTCTAAATCATTCTTTCATTCACAATAAGGGCAGCCCCATAAATTAACTTTCCAACTTGGAGCTACTCACAAGAACATAAAAATGTATAAAAAATAATAATAAAACCAATAAAATAATAGCATGAAACAGAAAAGAAATCTTACTCTTGCAATAACTGATATTTCCGCTTTAACTGTGCCAACTCCAAGAGAGCCTTCACCTTTTCATTTGTAACCTGAGTCATCCAACAAATTCTTAGAAGTTCATTTTGATGAAAGGGTATAAGGCAACTAAGGATAGAAATCATTCAACAACAAGGACGAAATATATACTATAATAATAGTAAATCAAACAACACATCAATGCTGAAGACCAAAGGAGGAGGCTTTTCTTCCCGTACAACAAGGAATAGTAAACAAATCCTTCAAGTCATAGTGTCTCTTGAAACTTATCAAGTTTAAAAAAAAAAAAAAAAAGGAATAAAGGTTTCTTTGACTTAGTAAAGTAGACCCCAAAATTCTAATGTCAGTCTAAGGCCTCTAAGCATGGACACATAGTAATGTTAGTTCAGGTAAGATACGATCATTATTTATGTACATCAAGAAAACTATGGAAAATAATGCAGCTCCATCTGAAGTTAAACCAAGAAAGTTACTTGAAGCAAATTTCTCTGAAGCTCGTCTATTTTTTTGAAGAGTTGCATTAACGTTTCTCTCCAGTAAATGTCTTTCTTCCTGTTGTGATAAAAGCAGCAGTGCCGCCACTTGAAAGAAGATTTGAAGGCTGAGAAAACAAAATGTAAAAATTACCACAAACCAGACCATAACAGGACAGAAGAAACATCTAAAACCTTTTCTTGCAATGCCCGTGCAAGGGCTTCTGACATATCACCTTTTTTCTCGGCAATATTTAAATCCAGCATATCCCTCTACAAAATATGATGGATATAAATAAAAATTACAGCTTGAAACTACATGGTACAAGAACAGTAAAATAATAACTACAACCATCTTCCTGACATCTACATGCGTCCCTACCGTGAATACTAATATGAATGATTCTAATCAGCCAAAAGTTGTCAAAGTTAAATAAGATGGATTTGAACATAACAGGTTGATGTAACTTTTTTTTAATAACATTAGTAAGAGAAAAGTTTAACATTGAAAGACAACAGAGCTGACAGTAAAAAATGAACACACACAAAATAAAAACTATCTAAAACAAAATATCATTCTATTCAGCTTTCTATAACTCAGCTAGAACAGAAGGATTTAAGCAACCCAAGATATTTCTTTAAATAAAACTACTATTATTCAAAGCAGTTTCCTGAAAAAAGATAGCACTAGATTTTGACATAAATGCGAGAACAAGAAAGAGAGCAAACAAGCAGGTGTGCCACATAATCTCTAAGTATCAAACCTTGGATACCAACTCAGCTTCAGCATCAGTACTAATATGTACATCTGCATGCTCATATTCATCTGGTTTGAGATCACTCCGCACATTTCGCCCTCTCAAATCAAATTGCCTAAATTTTTCTTCAACTAAATCAACGTATCTTCTAATATGTGATCTTTCCATATCAAGTAAATTCATAATTTGAATTCTGTGCTGAGAATGGCAATGGAGTAATTCTGTGACCCTGTTCAAAATCTTTTTGTCTGAAGTGATCTGCATATAATTCAAAAGGTCAAGGATTGAAACATAGAAAAGAAATTAAAAAGAAAAAATAAAAACTGTAACATACTTTCTTTCTTTCCAATTCAAGAACTTTCTTCTTTAAATGATTTTCAATCTCCAAACCCTATATGCCACAACAATTGATTTTTACAATACGAGAAATGCAGTGAGTGAAACAAGTAAAGCAAGCATGATCCTCAAACAAATTCATACCACTCGCAATTTGTTCTGAAGATCATTGACAGAGCTTCTTGCTCTTTTCAGCTCTTCTTCCACTGAACTCTGTCTGAGGAAAAGTTATGCAAGTTGCATATAGGAAACAAAATTCAATTTAATGAAAATTCAAATTTTTATAAGACAGATCTGAAAATTTTTCAAAGCCTGTCACCCTATTAGTCTTGCCAACCAAGAAAAAGTTTAATCAACATGATACAAACTAAAGCAGCTTGTAGAACATGCACATTGGATCTAGAATTCAATTGATTTATTTTAACAACATAAACATGAGAAAACAAAACAAAGCTGATATATGGGATTCTAATGTTTCATTTTGAAGTACAACAAATCATTTAGGCACCTTTGTCCATAGCAGTTATAGTCCAAACTAACAAGGAAATACTAAATTAAAATAATGGAAAATACTAAGAGACAAATTCTATAATGTTAATTTAATTGATTTACTACAAGGTCACTGCAAAACCTAATAAAAGAGTGGTATGAATAATCAAGGAATAGAGGAAATTTTACGGTTTATTGGAACTCACAATGTATTTAGTGGTGGAAGAATCTTTGAAACTCCACATTTCTGCAGGATCACATAAGAGACACATACATTTATCATCCCAACTGGCATCCTCTAATTCTCCAATAGCTTGTTGCCTGATCTCATAAAACTTGCTGATAATCTGTTCCAAATTTAGAAAAGCTAAGAAAATGTTTATGCTCTTATAAACTTAAAAAAAAAAAAAAGAAGAAGAATTTTCCAGAGAACAGCGAATGAAGATAATGTAAAAGACAGCGCAACCCTGAAACAAAGCAATTCAGTTCTCATTTGAAGAAAAAGGCTACAAGGTACATTGAATAACTAGTAATGCAATAATAATCCTAGACCAAAAATGACAAGGTCCATATGGCACCAATCCAGGAGGCACTGTTTCTTAATTCTTATTAGTATTCTTCTTCTATTTTTCTTGTCCTTTTTTTTTTTTTTGCTAAGATGGGCCTTAAAAGGAGAAAAATGTAGAAAAGTAATTTTCAATCCATACAAAGAAAATATAAGCATTTTATGTATCTCAAAAAAATGAAACAATTCTCAAGACTCAAAATAAAGTAAATCAATATGTAATCTAATCTAATTGACTTAAATAATATCTTCCGGACAGCATGAACGCAGGATGTAAAGTAGGTTCTCAACCGTATTTGGTAGCAATACCTACAAAATCACTATGAACATTTACAATTGTATTAATTCAAGACAATACAGCTCTTAGTTAAGAAATCAGCTCATTATGAGAAAATGAATATTTCTGCCTTTTACCTTCTTTGAAGTTTCATTTTCCTCTTTTTGTTTTGTAAGATCAATTTGCAGTGCATCATTACGTCTGCTCTGTTCAAGACAATATGATGTGAGCTCTTCCAACCTGTATTACAAATTTTCAATGATTATCCAAATCAATTTGGATCATATCTAAAATTTAAATTTTAGATAAAATAACTTTACAGTTCATATATATATATATATATATATATATATATATATATTCTTAACACTCCAACTTTTTCCTTCCAAAAGACCATAATTATCCATGAAACTGAAAGCAACAATAGTGGCAGCAAATCCCCCCCAAACCCAGAAGCAAATGATACGTAGAAAGATATAAGATTACCTTGTTTGAAACTCATTAAATTTCTGAGCCATGAGCTCCTCCTTTTCCTTAGCCTTCTCAGCCTGTTACCAGCCATGTGGAATCTTGAAACCTTATTATATGTAGATGCAGAAAACATTTATAATACAGTTTACAAGTATAAAAAGAGGAAAGTCATAAATGAACTAGCTCAAACCAATTATGGGAACAACCTCCATTATTGAATGATCCCGTTCAGCAAAAGCAGCCGCCACACAGCCTTGGAAAAACGTAACCTGCTTCTCAGCTTCCATCTTCTGGATAAAGAAGCCAAAACAAATTAGTGAGACAAATGAAAAATAAATCCAAATTTCATCATTCACTAAAACACATGAAACACTTCATTTCAGTTTGCTAAAGAATATTCCTAATGTGACAATAATTCCACAAATGAGGTGTGCACGCGAAGAGGAAAACTAAGAATACACCTTTGCAACCTCCTCACGGTTTAGGTCTGCCAGCTGAGTCTGTAAACAACAAAGCAATCATATAAGCTCATAAAAGGGGCTAAACAAATAAGAAAACTGAGAACTGAAAAAAAAATTACTTTAACTCGATAAGCTTCGGAAAGCTCCTCTTGAAGATTTTGGTTATCCCGGGTGCAACCAGCTAATTTCTTTTTCAAGTTCTCAATCTCCTAATCCAATCCAGCAGGCCTAATAGGGGATTAATTTCTCAATAAACTAACCCCCCCCCCCCCAAAAAAAAATAAAATAAAAATAAGGAATCTTGCGATGGGATATGCAAAAGAATTATACCTTTGAAAATGCATTCGAGTAGCCACAGCAAGATAGCTTGGTCCAGCTTGTTGTATACACAATTGTTCAATGTCTTTACGCAATTCGTCACGCTCTACAAACCAAAATCTTGTTTTTTAAAATTTTATTGGGGAGAAAAAAATTGCATTAAACCCTTTTCAGAGACAAGGTGAAATTTAAAGCGAAACGGAAAAGGAAAATCGATGGAATTTACAGAGGAGTTAGGATTAAAAGAAAGGTTTACCATGTTCTAACTGTTGGATGCGAGCAAGTAATGATTCGTCGTCGTTTAAGCTCGTCTCCATCTTCCTCTGATTTAATAGGAAATGGAGGAGGACAGTTGAAGAATGCCGGTTTTCTTAGGGATTGAGGAATCGAACCACATTAGAAAAGGATGAAAGCAAGAATAAAGAGAGAGCCGTCCCTTGCCAAACAGCTCTCCCTCCGTGTCCTTTCTTTTTCGGTTATTTCCTGCTTTTTACCTCGCGGCAAGGGATACCCACTCGGTAATCACTAACAAATTTACCCTAGTCGTAATGAAAAGAATTTTATTTTATGGTTTTTAATTTTATTTTTAGGTTACTTTTTAATGTTATTATTTATAAAATTATATTTATTTCCAAATCACAATCATAATATAATAATTTAAAAATATATTTTAATATATATTCACAAAAAAGAAAATTCCAATTAACAAAAGGCCACCCAAGATAGTGAAAAACACAAATTACAGGGATTATAAATAAATCCCAATAATAAATGTCGAAAGATAGTACAAGTACACTTTGGAAAAAGCGTAAATAGACTGCAACTTTCGATCTTGAAAGCCCAAGAGAAATTATGCACCACTTTTGTGTTCCAGCTCGACCTGAAAGTCCCTCACCAACATTACATTGCTTTGAAATCTAATACAATTTCCTCGGTGATTACATGAATAAACTCATAACGCATTCAACACTAACCAGCAATCCCCAAAATCTATTACCAGAACAAACCACTTAAGATGCGGCACTAGATTCATTTCTACCCAAAGAACTACAACAGATATCTCAGATGGAAACACACAGTTGCTATCCCTATATACATTCCAATTTCTATGTTTTACCGGAAGAAAGCCAATAGCAGAGGCTTTGAAAATGAATAAATATCAACTGCAATACAGAATATTCCCCCATAAAAGAGAACAAGAAACAAAATGAGGAAGAATCCCTGCATTTGAAACCATTAGCAAGAAAGGTTGTTAATGGAATCTACATCTACTGTTCCCAGAGGATCTGCTGGTAAGGAAGAATCCCATACATCATGCACCCAAAAAGGCCTTAACCATATTTACAAACAGGGATGATAACTGGACGCCCGCTACAAAATGTCATGCTTCATAACACCTTGCTCATTTTGTCAAATCAAGCTCAAACCATCTGTATGTATACACAAACAATATCATATGAAGTCATAAGCTAAATGAGTAGAAATCAACAAAAATTTAGGGGGCAGGACAATCGATGACCAATCCCAGACATGCTGTGTACAGGTTTCTTAAGTATAAAATCGACATTAATGCATGTTGGTGTGGAATGTAAGATCAATCAACTTGCACTCACTTTATTATTCTCACATGCCATCATAACATATAATATCCATCCATCAGATACTTGCGAATATCCCACCCTAAAGTCTTCTGAACTCAACTCTTTTTATCACTGCATGTGCACATGTGCAAAATAAATATTTAAAAGACATCACAACCATTTACCACTTTCTGATTGTTTCTTCCTTTTAGAGTCTTCAACGCTGCTTCTGCAAAAGCTTGTGCTGCCTCTGCATCAGCTTCTGCAACCTCTGCCTCTCTTGCTGCTTCTTCAGCTTCTGCAATTGCAGCTTCTGCTTCTGCAACTGCTCGAGCAGCAGCTGCAGCAGCCTCCTGGGGCGTCATAGTCCTAATCCTGGCTAACTCTAAATCAATCTGAGATTTTGTGAGGATATTGAAATCATCCCTATCAAATCGAGGAGAAACCCTTTGCCTTCCCTCTGAAAATGGCATAAAGTGATTCCTCCTCCTCTCTGAAAATGATAGAGCAGGTGCAATCCTATACCTGCGTTTGACCTGCAAGTAAAAGCATGGGATGAAATTGAAGTATTGAACCTTATATCAGAAAAAAAAAAAAAAAAAAAAGAGGAAGAAGATACCCATTATCTAACCAGACATCAATGTTCTAGAAACTGGTAAAAAATAGGCCAAACTTTGTAAGTTGGTATTAATAAGGTCAAGATGCAAAGAAAAGAATTCTTCCCAGATTTTTTAATCCAATTGTGTGCTCGTGTGTGTGACAGAGCGGAGTGCAATCAGAACGTTCACTGTAATAACTTCTCAATTAACATTAATCACTTAACTTGTTGCAGAAACCTTTTAATGCTGCCACAAACACAAATAAGTATGACAGTTCTTAATAGTTAAGATCAATTGCAAGCCTTTAATTATGTATGACTTAAAACTCTTCCAAAAATCTGAAACTGTTTTAAAAAATTATAACACAGAATAAACCACTAGCACCAAAATACAGGCAAATCATATATTTCATGAAACCAGATATATCTACTAATTTCTCAGATGACAAACTTCACGACTTGTAAAAAAGTAGCATCAAATATTTTTCATGCAGCATATAAATTACCTTAATCAGTCTACCACACGCTGTTAGATACTTCAACTTTGCTGACAAGAGCCTCTTAAAATCAAGCGGTGCCCAATATTGCTCCTACAGAATAAGAAAAATGACAAAGTCAGCAAATCATGCTAACAAAATCTAAGAGAGCTTATATTGCTGGAAACACAGCAAGTATGAAGCCACAACAGAAAGACCAACAATTGATAGAAAATTATTTCCATTGTTGTAATGCATGATACAACATGGATGCTACCATTACCAAATTATGAGATGGAACATCATATCATTTCAAGTCCAAGTAAGCAAATTAAATTGATGAAATTATGATTTTGGCAAGTCAAGTGTTATCAAATTTCTGGTGTTAATGCAGAATGGCAGGGTTTCTTGGTGAAAATAAAAAAGCCAAGCAATGCCCAAAACAAAGAGAGAGGGACAGCAGACTGACATGCAGAATTGGTCACATTGTAATTTAAATTCAATTGCCTTCAAATTCAAATTATAAAAATAACATACACAAGGAAACATTTGGTTGACAGAAGCACAAAAGCCTTTCCTCACAGCTATTTCTTCTTCTCTTCTTTGCCATTGCTGGGCAAGAACAGCATTAGCAATTAAAGAAGAAATTAAAAAGGTCTCTTATAAGCCTCAAACTATTAAAAATTACTTGCGAGATATCAGCTACTCTATGCCATGTTAAACTTGTTATATCTATAAATCAGGTTTACTCCTCTTTTCAATGTTACTACGGGTCTCTAACACAATCTTTTCAAAGGAATATGAAAAAGAAAACTGAATTATAAACTATGAATACTGCATATAAAACACTACCTCTATATATGCAGCAATGGTTGTCTTATTTGAACCACCAGGCTCCTTCAAGCTTGTAATCGCTTCAATAATGAGGCTATCTAACCTATAACAATGAAAAGAAAACATCAGCAGTGAAATCATACAAGATGAAAATATCAACCAAAATAAGAAAGACGTCTAACCTGACAATGGATCTCTTCGTAGAAGTTGGTATCTGCATGGTAGCGCTGGAAGTTGCCATAGGCTTAACATCCACAATTTCTTCATCACTTGCAACAACACTGAGGGCCATAGCACTCTCCTCCTGTTTTGGAATGCTAGATGTCCTCTTCACAGCTAACCTAGCCTTGTCCCGAGAACCCCATCCATTTGCCATCACACTCATATTTCTCCATTTATCCTACCCCAGGATACAAAAACATGAATTGGCCGGTACAAAACCATAAGCAAATTTCATCTGAGTCAAGGATTAAAAAGGGGCCTCTCTATCAGAACCATTTTACAGAGAGAGCAAACGAACAAACCTTGAGATCTACGTTGGAACGCAGATACAAGACACCACTGAATTCTGGGTCTTTTAATATCGTTCGCCATTTTCCAGCACCATGTTTGATGACTCCAGCTTTTAATGCTGCCTCCTCTTCAGGTGTCCATTTCTGCTTAGGAGCACCCATTTAAAGAAATACAGAGGAAAAGCTTCAAACTTACAATGCTGCAAAGCCCATTTCGCTCCATATTAGCAGATAAAATCAAAGAAATGAGACTTCAAGCATTGTTCTCCCACAAAATCAATATTGAAACAATTACCATCAATCGTTGTTATAATTAAATATATTAAGCTAATTCCTAATCAAGAATAACATGCACAACTAATCAATAATACCTTATTTCAAAAAAGGACCATCATGATAACATTAAACCGTTTCAATAGAGAAATTCCTCCCTCATCGATTGACAAACCCAAAAACAAACCCTAATTTCAACCATCGATTGCATTTCTAAAGATTAACAATAGCAGATGGAAAAATAGGCAATTTATGCAAAATTATATAAGGATATTGAAAATATAATGAAAAATTAACAAAGGAAAACACAGATTAACATAAAAGAAAAAGAAATTACCAGATGTGCTGAAAGACAGGAAATTGAAGGAAGAAGTAAATTCAGTTTTTGTAATGTGGAGATGCTATGCTACAGGAGATTATACAGAGGTTGAACGGGACGCTGTAATTTACTGGCGCAAAAATATTGTTAGGGTTTTTTTTTTGTTTAATTTGTTTATAAATAAGCGTACTGTTACTCTCGTGTCACGTGTGGAGTACACTGAGATCCCTGACTGAAATTGTGACAGACACGTGTCCGAGAGCCGACTTTGTTGGATTTGAAATTTTCACCTTCCTAATAAAAAAAATTATAATTTGCTTCTTATAATTTTTTTTGAAAACTAAACGGATGGAATTTCAATGTTCTTTTATATAGTTTTATTTGTCAATAATGGATAGGAAAGAAATTAAAAATTATTGATGGACTACAAAAATGTAGATATATAATTCGTTGAACAAGTTGAATTCGAGTCAAACTTTTCTACCATAGATAGGAATGAAAATGAAAATCCTTACTCGAGGGACAACCCAATTTGGAGAAAATGAGAATTTTTTAAACTAATTCTTAAATTTGATCAGATGGATTGAACAATCTTCCATTAGTTTTTTATTCATTACTTTTAATATATTCGTCATCATCATTCCCATGTATAAAATTTACAATAAATTCTAAAATTAGTAATTTTTTTGGAAAAAATGAATATAATAATAATAATTAAAGATACCAAAAAAAAAAAAGAGTAATTTTCAGCTCTTATTTTTTCCAATTTGTTTTTCGTTACACAAGCAGAAGCAACATTCCTTTTAAGCCAACAATGAAAAAGAATCATGAAAGCTCAAAATCAAAATAAAATAAAATACAAGTAGTGTTACTACAAAACGACAAGTAAAGGTTCAATTATTAAAGAAAATAAACAAACGAGAGCGAGAGAAAACACGTAAAGACCAGACAGGCGGCGATGAGAAACGTTTCAAATTAGAATGAGGATTTAGAGTTTGACTATGCCGTTTGATTCAACTTCAATGCAACAAGTCTGGCAAAGGTGGCTCGTCAAAAGCAGGCATCCAGAAGGCAGCAACAGCACAAAGCGGCCAAACTGCACATGCAATGAAAAAAGAAGAATTAAAACCACCAAAAATTAATAAATAACTTGGTCAATGAACTCAACCTCACACATGACAATTTCCAATTTGTCCTATAGATTTAATGATTTTTTTTATAAAAGAAAATACAATTTGAGAATAAAAAATTATATTAATATTTATATTGCATAAATGATAAATATAATTTTTTAAAATATCGTATCAACAACAATTGATTGGATTACTATCCATATCCAAGCTTTCTCTCCCTTATACGGTGATTCGTTTGAGCTAACTAGCCAAATGCAACGTCAAATGACAGCAAAGGATTTGATTGATTCTCATTATAAAATTATCCCAACCTTTAAATTATCGAAAATTTGTTTTAAATTCCCTTGAGATATTAGGAAAAAGTCATAAATATTATGACCAAAACACCCTTATCTAGAAAACCGAAAAGCTGATTGCAAAAGAACTGAAATAACCAAAACACCCCCATCCGGAAATGGAAGCAGGTATGCGGGGTGTTTTCGGGATTTTGACCAATTAGCTACCGAACAGATCATGCGAAAACCAACACCGTTTTTATCAGAAATCGTGACGGTTGTTGTAAAGAACACGATGTTTTCCACCCCGGAAACCACGCGCTCAGTTGAATTATTCGTATTATACTAGATCTGACATACCAAATATACGGTAGATGTACTGTGCATGATGCGTATACGTATAGAATGAGAGAAAAAGAGAGGGGACTTACCAGCCTTCTAAGCAACCAGAACTCTGCTTTTGCTGAGGAGGGGGAGGCTGAGCATATTGAGGGGCGTAGGGAGGAGGGTATCCCTGAGGAGGATAACTCTGAGGATATCCTTGTGGGGGATATCCCGGTGGCGGATAAGCATCCTTGGGATATCCTTCCGGTGGATAACCTATCATTAAATCACAAAAAAAATCAGATCTATTCAATTGTAAAGCAACAAAGGCAAACAGAGACATATAATCAAAATCTTATAGAAAACCAAACAAGAAAAAGAAAAAGAAACCCAGATAATAAAATCAAGTGAAAATTCAGGGGTTGACCTTGAGGAGGAGGAACACCAACGGGTGGCTGTTGCTGATTGTAATAACTCATTGTTTCTTGCGTATTTTGCTGATAGTTTCAGTAAGAAGAGTTTCTTTTTTTGTTTTCCTTTCCTGCGACAAAAACTTATGAGAGAGAAGGCTCCTCGGAAACAAGGAACGCAGTTGCGTATTTTTATATAGTGGATTTTCAAAAGGAAATCCGAACCATTTACCATATATTATTAGAGACGCGGACGCGTGTCCTTTAAGGTGAGATTCAACTGCAAGGGCAACATGTGGGAATGGCGATGGAAAATTGGAAATTACGGCCAAAGTTCCGCGTCCAATGCGCGTAAAGATAACTAGAAGCAAAACTAACCCCTTACACCAAGTATTCTTAATAGTAAAAAAGTAAAAGAAGGAAAAAAAAAAATAGTCAATTTGGATAATAATTCATTAATGTGTGGTAAAATTTTTTATTTACTAACAAAAATTTGTTAATTGCAAATGAAGTAGAGTTAAAATATTATTATATATTTTTATTCATTAATCATTTTAAATATATCTTAAAAAATATATAATAATATTTTAATTAATTTATGAAAATTTTAAAATTTCATCCAAGGACTTTATTTTTCTGATAGGCTTACGTACGTAGAACACGGGCAAAACATCATGTCACAATTTCATCCAAATGGAAAATTTATGTCACAATGTATAATTTGAATTTTGAAAGCAATTTATTTGTAAATTTTTACAATAATTTTACAATTAATTAATTATAAGAAAAAATTATATAAATATTAATCATTTAAAAATGTAAATTTTATATAAATTTTATATAATACTAATTATAATTAATTAATTATAGTTATAAGTGATAAAATTGGGATAGGGCAGATGCATCATGTGTTAAAAAAAAAAAGGAAAAAGCCCCGTCGACGCTGTTAACAATGCTTTTTTTCTCCTTTAAAAAAGGGAGCATATTCGCATGGATATTTATCCATTGCGTGATGAAAACAACAATCGTATATGAAGGTATCAACGCACTCAAATGTTATTGCATCCGTTTTTTTGTCACTAACTTCTTTTAAGCTTTTAATTTATTCTTTTTTTATTTATTTTACTACTTATTTTATTAAAAAAATTATTACACATAAAATTTTTTTCAATTATAACCTTCAAACATGAATTTTTCTTTGAACCCAAACACAAATCCTTGCAAATAGACAAGATAATCAAAGTCCAAATCTATAATTAAGTTCGTCTAGAAACAAAGCGAAAACAACCACTAAATAATACATAAATTTATATTTCCTATAAAGTGATACTCGTTAGCTATGCACATGATCAATCATTATATATATATATATATATATATATAAAGACAACTCAGTGATTATAATTAAATTTGATCATCAGAAGAAATAACTAGTAATAATAATTTTATTAAACTAGTATAAATACACTTGCAGTTTGAAGCTGCCCAAATTCTATTAGCTTCTAAGAAAGGGGACCGATCATGAGTCAAGTGGTAAAAAAAAATTTTATTTTATCAAAATTTAGTAATTTATATATTTATATTATATAAAATATTAATAATTTATGTATTTAAAAATGTCAAATGGATCATGTCATATTAGCATAATCCATTTAAATATTAGATCACATTTTAATGGTTTGTACTAATATAACACTTTTTTTTTTTTAACTAATCATGCTGGCATAGCTTATAAAAGCTAAGGGTATGATCTAGCATGGCACATGATCCTAATTCTTATGAGTTGTGCCAAGCCAGGCACGATGTTATTTTTCATGCCAAGTCATACTACATGATCCATTAATACTTTTTTCAAAATATCTATTATCTATTATTAAAAATAACATGTAAGATAAATGAAATAAAAAAAACACATAATTTAGATATTTTTGGTAAAATGCCTATATTCACAAAAATGGATAATAAAATCTACTAAATAAATATATTAAAAATTATGATATTAATATTTCAAAACACAAAAAAAAATACAAGATTATGAGACACAAAACTTTTATTCTATTTTTTATTTTCATCATTTGATAATTCACTTATATAATATATTTTATTTTATACTCAAACTTCTCTATCTAACTAATATTTAAGTGATATGCATATTTCAATAATATCCGTTCTCATTTTCATCCTATCATAAAATATCTTAGTTATTTTTACTGTTACTAGATCGTGGCAAATTTTTTACTTTTAATAGTTTATTTTGAGATGAGTTTTAATTTACTAGTAGTGTAGCATTCATGAAAAACTTTTTTTTATCTTTTGTAAAAAGTGAAATATCATATGTTTTTGTATTCAAAATAAAAAGATTATAAATTCATCTAACAATAATTTAAATATTTTATAAGTAGATTTATTTAATAAGATTTTTTAAAATTATCAACAAAATATCAAAAGCAAGAATAATTTTATGACTAGATTAAAAATATGAATAAATTCATTTGTATTTGTGTGCCATGTTTTGCTAGCTAATGTGTTATTTAAGCGTCATGTCAATTCACATGCCACATGCTGATATTGATCTTTAATGGTTCTTGCCATATCAACTCACGAGTTTAAAATTTGTAAGTCTAGCATGGCACATATATGTGTCGTGTTCGGTTTAGTCCAATTATTTAATCATGTTGTGTTTAGATCATTCGATTTTTTTGACAATTTTATATGTATTCGTATTATATTTTATAAAATATTACATTTAATAATTTATATTAATATAAAAAATATAAAAATTTTTTTTTAATTTTTGTTAAATTTATATATTTTTTAATGTTAATTTGTATTATATTTATATTTTTTTATATCAATTTTATATTATATCATCGTATTTTATTTTAAAATACCTATAATAATATTAATAAACAATGAAAAAAATGTCAATGATGTTAGTTGAATTAATAAAGGTAGAATATTTTATTTATAAAATTTAAATTCAGTTATTACTATTAATAATTTTTTACAGATAATTTGTAAATCGCTAAAGCCTGCTGTATATCTTAACTCTTAAATAAATAGCACTAAGACTTAAAATCAAAGCAGAGCCGAAATAATTATAGGGTTAGGAAAATTGTACGCTTTGCTATTAAATAGAAAGAAGTACTCAAAAGGTATTATTATTATTATTATAATAGACTGGAATTATATACGAATGCAGCCGGAACCAGGCAGCTGTGGGGGTTTAAGGTTTGATAATAAATAGGGGAGTAAATGGTTAATTTGATCGGTTTGGTTTGAAAAAATTAATAATTGATTTAATTAATTTTTATTTAATAAATAATCGAATCGATCAAATATTAGTAAATAATCGATCATAATCGAATCGATTAAAATCGGTTCGATTCGATCGGTTCGGTTAAATAATCGATTTTTTTTATCATTTTTTTTATTATGAATAATTATTTAATCATAAATTCAATTCAATAAAATTCAAACTCTAATATCATTCAAACTAAATTACTAAAAATTTAATAATTTCAAAAATATTTTACCAAAAAAATAAAATAAAAATATTTATCTCAATTTTTTTATTTTTAATTATTAAAAAATCGGTTAATTCGATCAGTACGGTTATCAATTTTAAAAACTGAAAACTGATCGAATTAACCAATTTAATCGATTTAAAAAATCGATTATAATTAAAACCGAATAAATCGATTCGATTCAACTAAATTCACTCGATTTTGATCGATCTAATCGATCCAAACCGATTTTTGCTCACCCTAATAATATATAAATAAATATGTCTTGGTTTTTGGTCTCACCAAGATGTGTTGACAACTGAGCTCATTTCTTAGCTTCTAAGGAATGCAGGCAATAAAAATTAATAATAATAATAATAATAATAATATTATTATTATTATTATAGACTGGAATTATATACGAATGCAGCCGGAACCAGGTAGCTGTGGGGGTTTAAATTTTGATAATAAATAAATAAATATGTCTTGGTTGTTGGTCTCACCAAGATGTGTTGAGAAATGAGCTCATTTCTTAGCTTCTAAGGAATGCAGGCAACAAAAATTAATCATCAAAAATGGTTGTTTGTTCTTGGGTTTCACTATGCATCTTCACTCAGGATTAACCACTAACATTTATCAAAATTTGAGATTTATTGTATACATTTTACCGATGAAAATTTCAGATTCATGATTGTTTGTGACATTGTTATTATTATTTTTTTGTCTCATCTCAGTCTCTATATCGGTAATCTTGGAAATTAACTGATACCAATAACAAGGATTTGCTTCCTGTTCTACATCCAAGTATCCTTTCTCCAAAGTCTGTTTCTGGCTTGGGTTAACAAATTGGGAAACTTTTATCGGCTAAGGTTATGCTTAAAATCTCCTTCATACTAAGAATTTGCAGCTACAGTTTGTAAAGCATTTTGTTAACCCATGTACTTTGTATTCAGTGATTGTAAGAAATTTATTTGGAAGTCATTAAACCGTATGTAATGAACCAAACTCCTTGTTCCATTCAGAATTCAGATTATAACTTACTGTTCTATCAAACTCTTTTTTTTTTTAACGGGATGCTTCATTAAATATCTTCTTTCTTGATAAGTTTCAATCATAATCTCACTTGTAAATAGAGGTGTTTAATGATCTGGACAGCTCATTATATAGTACGATTCAATAAGATATGAACTATACTTGGTACGATTTATTACAATAATTATGGCCATGTCAAGCATAATTTATATATTTGTGACGTACTTCACTAGAATTTTTTGATCTTTTGGGCTGGTATAGCATGACCCATCAAGAATCAATGCTAACACATGATACATGGGTTGGCACGATAGCGGTATATAAACATTAATGTCCCATATTGTGTTGACTCATAAATATCATAAATGAGTTTAGTTTGTTGATTTTTAGTTATATTTTATATCATTCTTATCATATAATGGATTTTTTTATCATTTTGATTATTTATTTTAAAAGTTTATAGAAATTAAATTGTATCAATAAATTTATTTATAAAATATTTAAAATATTAGTAGATAAAATTATAAAATTTTTTATTTTGATTTATTATTTAAAAAAATTATGAAATGTATATTACTTAAAAATTGATTATAAAAAAACTGAGAATAAGATAAAATACATGATACAAATGAATCATCATATGGTAAAAATGAGCAATGAAATAATAATGTAAT